ATTTTGAAGGTAGAGCCAAGAGGATTGGCTGGCAGGGAAGAAAGAGAAAGAGATGAGTCAAGGAGGGCACCAAGGTATTTTGCCTGAGAAACTGCATGAACAGAACGAGATGGAGTAGGCAACAAACATCATTCTCAGCTGCCATGCATTGGTGCATATTTTCTCTGTCTCTCTCTATCTCTGTCTCTCGATCTCCTCTTTATGCATTAATCCTGCCCTTACATATTTTCAGATGAGAAAACTGAGGCTGAGACCCATTTGAGATCACACAGATAGTGAGGGGCAGAGTCTGGAATTGCATGCATATCTCTTAGCCACCGAGCTATGCTGTCCCATCAGAACTGGAGTTAGCGTCATCTGTTCATTCCTTATTTCATCCACCAGATCCTTGTGCGTCTAAGACCTTTCAGCAGGCCCGGTGCTGGGCACCAGAGAAGAACCTGGAAATCATCAAGCCCAGGTCTCTCAGTGATGGCTGAGGCAATCAGCTCTCTGCCCCTGCAACACCACCAGTACAGGGATGCCCACCCAGAGGTTTTGGGGAGGGCTCAGCTCAGCACAGCTGGGCTCGGCTCTGGGTGGAGCCAGGTCCCCAGAGCCTGAGAACAATGTTTAGGGTCTGACAGTGTGGTCCCACCCTTGATGGGCTCCTATGAGCTGCCTGCCTGCTGCGTTGCTCAATTGCTGACTTCCCCAGGAAAGCACTAATTACGGCAAAGCTCCCCTGGGCCCTGGCTTGGCAATCTGTCACAGCCCCTAGGCTTCAGAGCACTGGCTACAGTCTCTACAGCAAGCCAAGCGCTGTCCTGCTCTCTGCCTTCATGCTAAGGGGAAGACAGAAACCAGAGGGATGGACAGACTAACCAACAGGGAAACTGGGGCTTGGCTTACAAAGGAGTCTCACCTTGGCTTGAATGGCAGTCTATTCAGCGGTTCTCAAAGTGTGATCCCTGAATCAGTAGTATCAGTATCACCTGGGACCGTGTTAGAAATGCAAATTTTCAGACCTTACCTAAGACCTACTGAATCAGACACTCCATGGCTGGGGCCCTGGAATCAGTGTTTTAACATTCCCTCCAGGGGCTGTTGGTATCAGCTCACATTGTAGAACCAAAGCTCTGATTCCTGTACAGCTGTGGTTGGAGGGAGGCCTGTGGAGAGGTGATTATGAAGTGGGATGGATTGAAGCACAGGCTCATAGAGACCCACCTTCAAATCCAGGTTGTGCCAATTCCTTGCCCTGAGATTGGATCGTGGGCAGAGCACTTCATTTATTTACTTATTATTTTTACTTTTTTAGATAGGGTCTCGCTCTGTTGCCCAGGCTGGAGTGCAGTGGAGCAATCATAGGTCACTGCAGCCTAGAATTCCTGGGCTCAAGCAATCCTCCCACCTCTGCCTCCCAAAGTGCTGGGATTACAGGTGTAAGCCACCATGCCCAGCTCAGTTTTAAAATTTAATACATATTTATTGACAACCTACTGTTTACTGTTGAAGGGCCTGGGGCTGCAGCTCTGGGACAAAACAATGGCAGTGGCCAACACTTAACCTATATTAACTCATTTAACCCTCACAAGAACCCTTTCAGGTAAGGTCCTATCATTACCCCAAAGGAAGCACAGATCATCAAAATAACTTGCCCTACGGGGCTAGTCTGAGAGACCACTGGAGTGCAAGCCACTAGGATAAACTGACCTGGAGCTAGTTAGGGAGACAGAAAAAATGCAATGGAGACACACAATATTAGCAGGTCGTGATGCATGCTATGAAGATAAAATAAAGTAGGGAAGAGGGTAGGGCATATTGGGCAGGGGTGGGGGTGACTACTTTAACAGGGTGGTCTGGCAAGACCTCTCAAGGAGGTGGCGTGTGAGCAGAGCTGCCTCATTTGTAAAATGAGGGAATGATTAGCTCACCCTCCCAGGTGTGGTATGAATGTCACAGTCTGTAAAGCATAGTAGATGCCGAACAGATGGGAATTGTTTGGAAAACTGAGTTCAAATCCTGACTGGTTTGGCAACCCAGAGAAAGGGGCTGTTGTGAGCCTTGGAGATTATCCTTACTCTGCAAGGGCCAGAGGACACAGCAGGGGCTCAGTAAGGTCACTCCCATCTCCCATCCCCCCACCCCACTTGTTCCTCAGCCTGGTGAGCAGCAAGCAACTCTTGGGGCAGTTGGTTCCCTGGTCCAGGCTGCCCAGGAGTCCACGCTGTTTTTATTTTTATTGTTCTGGCTCCACAGCTGAGACCTCTAACTCCAAATGGCTCTTCTTGCCCAGAAAAATAGGTCGTTGGCAGCTCCAGCCTCCTGGCAGGCCTGCCTGCTGACGCCAGCCCAGGGTTACGGGAAGTGGGGAGCAGAGCGCGGGCAGGGCTGGAACCAGGTGAAGTTGGGCTGTGCAGGTGCCAGCGTGCCCCACAGGGTGGCCCTGGTGAAGTCGTGTTCTGTCTCTGGGCATGTTTCCTCACCTCTGGGAACCCCGTGGAGTTGCTGAGGCTTCAGATAACGTATTTCAAAGGGCCTAGAACACACAAGGATGTCATCCACCCCCCTGCAATGGCCAAACTCCAGATAGGCCCTGCCATGCTATCATGGCTGCTTTCACTTCTTTGTCACTATTGACCCCATCATATCAGAGTTTGTTATCCCCATTTCACAGATGAAAAGACTGAGGCTCAACATTTTGTTTTGCCCAAGTTGCACAAGTCAAATCGGCAAAATCTTGGCTTCCAAGCCCCTGATCTTCTCCTCCTCATGCCCATTTGTCTTCTTCCCTTGACAACAGGGAAGGAATGTGATCTGACTTCTGTGCAAGGATTCCTCAGGCTGCTGAGTCGAGGAATCGACAGAAGGCACAAGGTGGAAATAGGGCGCCCAGGTGAGAGCGGTGGAGGCTCAGACGAGGGCGGAAGCAGCGGAGGTGCTGAGAAGTGGTTTGGCTCTGGTTGTGATGAGAAGGCCCAGCAGGCAGGATTTGCTGACAGATTGTGCCCTCTAGGAGTAAGAGGAAGAGTCAAACAGAAAATGCAGGGATGCAACCACCCCTGGCTTCCCATCTCACCTCCTCGGTGAGACCTTCCTTGATCCCTTTTCAAAATTGCAATCTATCCCTCTCATCAGCGCTCTTGGGCCGCTTCCCTGGCTAATTCCCCCCACCCCGTAGCACCCATCCCATTTGAGGAACTTATCAGTTCATTTCCTCCCACTAGAATGTCAGCTCCTTGAGGGCAGGGATTTTTATCTGTTTTCCAACTGTTGCATTCCCAGTGCCTGGCACCCAGCAGATGCTTAATAAACATTGTTGAGTGCATGAATGAATATGTGTGAAGGCAGTTAGATTTTAAAGTAGGGCAGCCCAGACCTCTTGCTGTGGCAGTGGCTGATTCACGTCAATTATCTGCCATAATCTCTCTGTGTGGCCTCAGACAAGTTGCCCCTCACCTCAGTTTACCCATGGCCCGTGGGTCTCAGTGGCTTCTCAGCCTTGAGATTGGCCAAGGATGATTTTTATGTGGACAGAGAACAAGGGTCAGGGCCCCCTCCTGAGGGAGAGGTGAGGGAAGCCCTGCTGAGCGCCTTTGCCAAAGGTACTATATATAAATAGCAGGTGGTTCAATTATTATCTTTCCCTAATCCCCAGTTTCCTAATCCCTGGGCAGGTTTGTGAGTGTGTGTGTGTCTTGAGGAATTGAACAGCAGAGCCTTCTGGAAGTCCAGGGCAGGAGGCTGCCTCTTCTCTGACTTCATCAGCAGCCTCGATCTCCACTCCCACCCCAGATAGAGTCTGGTGACAAATTTTCCCAGGAGCCTCCCTGGTCACCTTCACGGTCTAGACCAGATGTGGCCTGAAGAGATGGAGACCTTCCCTGCCCCCACATCAGATACCAGGATAATCCCAGAACAATATCCTTTCTCATTGGTGCCCAATTCCACGCTCCTCTCTCCAGTCCACCCTACGTTTGGAGAGTGGCCTTTTGTACACATAAATCAGACATGGCCCTCCCATGTTGAAAACCCTCAAGGGGTCTCCCAACTGCAGAATAAATGCAGGCTCTTTACCCAGGTCTTGGAGACCATCCCACCCTCCCCACTCCTGCATGCTGTGCTCTCTCTCCTCCAGCCTAGCCGCCAGGGGCCTTCCCCTCCTTGTGCTGGGCCCTCTTCCTGGAACATCTTTCTCCCCAAATCTTCCCCTTGTTGATCCTATTTGTGATTCAGCAACCCATGTCTCAGGGAGGTCCTACTGGCCCCCTTATCAAAATACGCTCACCCCTCTCCTTCTCTAAGTTCAGTCTTCCGTTCTTCATTAATTATTTCTACTTGTCCACTTACCTGTCTCCCCTACTAGAATATAAATTCCTCATGGACAGGGACCTCGTGCTCTCCCACACCCAAAGAAATGAAAATTCCCTTGCACTTCAAATGCTGCCCAAAACCCTGTGGGTTCTCAAGGACTGCTGTCAAACACTTCACTTATTTATCAAATGCTTATGCTGCACTTGGTATATGCTAGGCTCTTTTTAACACGTCTTACAAATATTAACTCATCTAATCCTCACAATTGAGACTCACGCTGGCCTCACTTCAGATGAAGAAGCTGAGGCACAGAAGAGGTAAGGTACTTTCCAGTCTACCCAGCTCATAACAGTAACCAGGGGATTTGAACCCAGGGAGTTCAGCCCATGTTCTCAAGTGTGGCACCCTCCCTGCCCCCCTGCACAACAGCAGGACCAGGCATTTAACCAGGAGGCTTGGGGCAGGAGGGGAGGTGGTGGTGCTACTTTGCATAGGTCTTTAACCTGGGAATCAGGAATTCAAATCTTGTTGCTACCCCAAGCTTTGCTGTGTGGCCTTAAGCAAACCTATTCCCTCTCTGGGCCTCAACGTTCTGTCCATTTACAGGGCTGGGCCCTCTCTCACCTTGTGTTATTCCTACCCTCTTAACTGCCACTGCGTGAAGCAAAATTCTCTCCCATTAGCAGCGGGTCTTGAACTCGTGTTCCTCCCACAATGCGGAGCCTACTTCTGCCAGGTGACCAGGACACTGACACTCCCCATCACTGACCTGGCTGCTACAGGAACGGCGTTCCCTCCAGGAAAACCGAGATTCTGTCCTCTCCAACTCCAAGCCTCTGGCTCCGGCTCCCACCCCTCATCTTCTTCCGGGCCTGTCCTTCTCCTGGAACCCATGCCTTCAGGGCCCCGCTCTCCCACACACGCCCCCTCCTGGGCCTCCCCACCCCCTCAATCTGCCCTCCACCACCGAGACACCTGGCCAGGGGGCTCCCACCTCCCTGGGAAGGCCCCGGCCCTTCCCCTCTGGTTCCCCGCCACAGCCCCCTTCTCGCTCCCTCTCCTCCCCGCTCCTCTTTTCCAGGCGGCACCGAAGTCCTTCCTACACACACGCTATTTTTGTACCATCACTCTCTTCTTCCTCTCCCCTTCCCCCTGCGTTCACTTACTTCCTTCTTTTCCTTCACCTCGGCCCGGCTCTGAAAGGATCGGGCCCCTCCGGCCCGCACCCATCCCCAAGAGGGGCCTTCAGCTTTGGGGCTCAGAGGCACGACCTCTTGGGGAGGGTTAAAGGCAGACACCCCCCGACCCCCGCGCCTCCACTCCCCGACTCCTTCGCCGCCTCCAGCCTCTCGCCAGTGGGAAGCGGGGAGTAGACGCGCAGCCAGAATCCGGAGGCGAGGGGAGGTCGGCCGCAACTTCCCCAGTCCACCTTAAGAGGACGATGTAGCCAGCTCGCGGCGCTGACCTTAGAAAAACAAGTTTGCGCAAAGTGGAGCGGGGACCCGGCCTCTGGGTAGCCCCGGCGGCGCTTCTAGTGCCTTCCAGCCCTAGCGGGCGGCGCAGGTCCGAGCCTGGCAGGGACGGGGAGGGGCAGAGCGGGACGGGTCGGGGCTGGGGACGAACCGCGCGGGCTTCTGAACTGGTACATCGTCGGAGCCGGAGGCTCGTCTAGTCCCGAGCCCGAGCGGGCTGCGGCGGCTCGCGGGGCCGCCTTCACGGGCAGCAGCCGGGGGCCCGCGCGGGGGTGCCGGGGCTCGGGCGCCGGCGCGGGGGGCGACGCTGCCCTCCCCGGCCGGGCGCGCTGCTCGCAGCCCTCGCTCCCTCCCCCGGGGCGCGCTGCTGGCTGGCGCGCAGGCGGGCGCTCGCTCGCCGAGAAGGTGCCGGCGGGGCCGGAGCCCCGAAGCCTCCCCGGGCGGCGGGAAGACGGGAGGAGGGGGGAAGGGAAGGAGGGAGGGGGCCGGGCTGCCGGGAGGGCGGGGGCAGCGGCCGGGACTGCGGGCCGGGAGCGAGCTCAGCCGCCCGCGCCGTGTGGAGCCCGGGCGGGGCAGGTGGGCAGCGGCGGGGGCGGCTCCGCGCGGCCGGGCTCGGCCGTGCTGCCCCTCGCCCCTGCTCGCGCGGTCCTCTCTCCCGCGCTGTCTGTCTCGGTCTGCGCGCCGCCTCGCTCACTCCTCGCTCGCTCGCTCTCCCCCTCTTTCTCCCCCTCTCGCCTCTCTGTGTCTCTGGCTCTCTGCCTGGCTCCCTTGGGTCTGTTTCTCTCTCCTGCCGCCTCTCTCTGGCCGCCCCTGGCTTTATTTCTCGCGCGCTTGGGGTCTCTCCCCGTCTCCGTCTCTCGATTTCTCCTGGGGGGCGGGGAGGGGGGTCTCCAAAAACCGCGGCGGCGACGGCGGCTCCTGAGCCGCTCCAGGCGCCCGTTCCGGAGTCGGGGGGAGGCCCAGCCGGGAGGGGGAAGGGGGGGAGTCTTAGTCATTTCCCCGCTCCAGCCTGCTCCCGCCCGAGCGCGCACTCACGGCCGCTCTCCCTCCTCGCTCCGCAGCCGCGGCCCATGGAGCCCGCCGGCCCGGCCCCCGGCCGCCTCGGGCCGCTGCTCTGCCTGCTGCTCACCGCGTCCTGCGCCTGGTCAGGTAAGCACCCCCCGCTCCCCACCGCTGCCCTCCCCAAACTGCGGGCTCAGGCCTCTCAGACTAGCACTGGGACCCATTCGGCTAATGCTGAGCAGTAATAGGGAGAGAGACGCCTGTAACCAGCGTTATAGATGCGGAAACTGAGGCCCAGAGAGGGCCAGCGACATGTCCAAGGTCACACAGCCAAGGGTAGAATCCAAGTCTCTTCTCTGAGAGTTTGTCTCTGTGGACTCTGACTGTGTGCACTGTGCTGGGCACTGAGACAAAAGAGCTGAGTTGCTTCACTCAGCCCCTGCCCAGTCCAATGGGGAAGGCTGACTGACAGTGGCTTTCAGAGTAGGGCGGTCCTCCTTCCCCAGAATCTCTCCCCATGGACATACGGCTTTCCACGTTTGACTTCAGGGTGTGAGGGGAGGAGGTGAGGGCAGAGGTTCCCCCAATGCTGCCTGGAATGGAACAGAGACAAGCTGTTGCAATTAGGGAAGAGTGAGCCCTCCCTCTGGTGCGCCAAGTAAACCAGTGTTAGTGTGTGCCTGGGAGAGAGGGAACCGGGAGGCCACGGTAACCCCACAGCGAGCTGCTGCAAGCAACAGATCCTTATGTAAAAACACGGTGAATTGTCCCTGTGGTTGCCAAAGCCTCTCCCTGGTGGTCTTGCTCCTCGAGGCGCTCCCAGCTCCCACTTCCTCCTGCCTTCCCCGAGCTTCCAGGCAGCTCCCTGCAGTTCAGGTGCTCCGCGGGGATGTTACCTGTGGCTCTGAGCATGTCTTTCTGTTGGCCTACATCAAACACCTGGCTGTCGCCGGCAGGCGGGCTCTGAAGGCTACTGTGTATGTTCACCAAAGGGTGAGGTCACCATTCAGGAGTCCTTCTTCTTAAATGGGTTTTGCAAAACCATGGGTCTCCTGGGAGGGCACTGGCTTGGGGGCGGGGGGAGCAGAGAAATGGCGTTAAGGGAGTTGGGAGGGAGAGAATGGGGATCCTGTTTTTTGTCCTCTTGAAGCTATGTTGTAGGCAGAGGGGTCTCTCTGTACCTCCCACCCTTGAGGAGGGAAGTAAAGATGAGCTCAGTGTCCAACACCCCCTTTTGCATTTGCCTAGAGATGGTAACCATCTGATAGCAGGGAGAAAGGGAGAACTAGCAAAGAGTGGGTGGAAGAAGAAGTGGGGGGTGGACAGCTGCTTCTCCCTGCCCTGCAGTTTCCCCTGAAACCCAGGAATTCACATAGGTATCACCCCACCCCACTCCCCCCCAACCCCACCCCCAGTTGTTTTCAGTTATAGTTGGGTCCTTGCTGGGTGGAAGGGAGCACTGATACAGTTCACGTCTCTCCAGTGAGTGGCATCTCCTATCTGCTCCTTCCTGCCTGAGCCGGCCATTTGTACCCTGCAAAAGTCTGAGTTCCTGCCCTGCCATCCTTCCTGGCCTGGAAATGCACAAGTGTCAATCACAAGTGCTTAATTTTCCTGAAGAAGGGAATTGGGCCCCAGTTAATTTCTAAATGTCTATTCCAGACCCTTCTCCGACCAGGAGCCTGTGGTTCAGTCCCTGGCAAATGAGCAGTGACGCTGATTAGCAAGTGTTCAGATGGGCAGCCTGCCTTTCCTGGGGCACTGGCTGGGAACACCAACACCTTTCTTGTGAGCACATCTCCCCCTTTTGCCTATAAAAACAATCTATAAAATGGTAAAGATTGGGCCATAAAACTTCCGTTCCAATCCATTCAGCATCAATAGCCTGAAAAAGTGGGAGCAGCAGAGGGGCCAAGATTAGCTCTGAAATAAATAAATCTTAGGAGGTAAGAATGAATTTCTTGGTCGAGGGTGGTGGGGAAGGGATGGGGTGCGACCGTCATAGCTCAAGCCTCCCAGCATCCTTCAGTCTCTGTTCTTCGGGGTCCTGGTCACACCATGGGCCTGGGTAGGGAAGTCACCTGGTTTGGCTGAAGGATGGGGCCTCAGGCCCCTCCTCCTGTTGCTCCAGACATGGAATTTACAACAAAGAAGTAGACAGGATATGAGGGTAGGAAGGTACAAGGAGGCAGTTGTCCAATTTTCTAAGAAAATGGATTTGTTCGAGTGAGAAACTGAAATGTCAGGTTTAGGAAGGCGGCTTTGGATTGAATGACTACTAGTGTCTCAGGCAGAACTGTCAGCCTGGGAGGTGTCACATGATTGCTGTGTCTTCACATGATCACTGTTTTGGGGGGGGGTGGGGCCAATCATGTGAATTATCTTGGTTGGGGGAGGCAAGGGAAGAAGTTTCTAAAGATTGCTTTTAGCACAAACGCTGCCAAAGGGAAATTCTAAAAAGATCCCAGTGAAGTCACCAACCTATGTTTTTGGACCCAATGTGAGGCCTGTTTCCTAAAACAACTGCACTGAGGGAGATTCTGAGGCTGGGAGAAGGGCAAGGGACTGGGGCCTGGGGACACCTGGCACCTGATTTTGTGTCAGCAGGGCCTGACGCTGAACCCACAGGATGCCTGCTTGGCCCTAGCAAGGCCCTGAGACCTCTAAGTCACTCCCCAGGCCGACCTCAGATAAACTCCCATTCATTTCTTCTCTCTGGCCTGGAGGAGGCCAAGCCAAGTTGCAGTTCAGGTTCTGGGGAGAAGCAGAGCCCCCCAGTGAACCTCTGACTCTTTGGTAGAGGGTGACACTCGGGGACTCCTCTGTACTTTCCTAAATGGTAAAGTTAATCTCACTTCCTCTTTCATAAGAAGAGACAACGGGGCGGGAGTGCTTTGGCTCGACACGCTCAGGCCGTTGGAAGCTCCTTTAAAGCTATAGTTTTCTCTGAGTACTTTCTGGCCTTTACCAACCCCTCGGGAACTCACCATAATTCATGTCTGTACTTGCAGTCATGCAGCACCTATGAAGTGCTGGTGTGAACCATGTGTTGAGAGAAGGGAGGAGAACCAACGTTCATTAAACAGTTAACGGCATTCCAAGCTAGATGCTGCACCTGCATCATCTCATCCACAAAACATGAATTGGCTCTTATCCCCATTTTGCAGATGTGGAAAATTGAGTCCCAAACTGGGGAAGTAACTTACAAGTGATAGAGAGGAGCCAGGATTTTGGATACTGGCCTTCCTGCTGGGTGGCTTCTAAGGAATAAGTTCAGTGACTTAATCAGGATGATTTAGTCCAAGCTGGAGAGGGAGTGAGAGAGGCCCCTCTCTGGGCTTGGGCGGAGGATTGTGGAAGAGTTCTTTCTCTGGGCAGAGGTTTCGATGAAGTCACAAGCATTTCTCTGAAAGCCTGCTGAGGGTGGAAATACTGACAGTCCCTTGGTCCTCACCAGTAACAACACATGAGGGGTGATGTGGCTCCCGTAAGCGCCCCCCATCTGGGCTGCTGAGCTCTGGAGCCCCCAGAGCTGGAATATTCCTCCTTGCATCTTCCTGGTGCCCTTTGCGACAGATGGAGAGGGGGTGTGCGAGAGGAAGGGAGTCTAAAAGTGTTGTACGGATCCCACACGCGCTCGCTTGCTGCTTCCAATGGCTCCGTGCGACAGGTTATTTTCTTATTTGTAGTCTTGGACTGACGGAAGGTTTCCCCCCTCTCTCTCTCTTTTTAAATGTGCTCAGATTTCTGGCCTGTCAACACAGCTCAGATCATGTCACTCCCCAGCTCAAAACTGTTGAGTGGGTCCAAGTTTTCTTAAAAAAAACCCACAAAGCTGCCGTGAGGCCTGGGCTTCCTCCCTGCCAGGCCTGATTTCCAGCCACATGTTTTCCAACAAGCTGACCTGTTGAGATGCTGCAGGATAACAAGGCTTCCTCCCTGCAGACCGGAGCTTTGCTGGCTACTCAGCCATGCGAGCACCCCGAAGACCCTGAGAAGCCCTGCATTGTAGAATCTCGAGCTGGGTCACATTTACTCCAGTGTTCCCTGAACATACGAACAAGAGGCATTTGATTTGTAGAACAGCCATTAGCATGCGGCCTCACTCCGTTTGGTAAATGCTTTTGTACGGATCCATGCCCTCAGCTGAACTCTCAGCTCTGGGCCTCGGCCCGTGCTGTTCCTGCCGTCAGAAATGCCCTTCCTGTACCTCCTTGTCTTCCTATGTCCGAATCCTACTCATCCTTAGAGGTTCAACTTAATGTGCCTCCTGCGGGGAGGTCAGAGGAGCCTCTCCTCGCAGACACAAAACCTAGTGTAGTGCTAAGACCCCTGGGTATTGATCTGAACCTTGCTACTGACTTGGACAGTTTGCAGAAATCTGTGTTTTATTTTGCTCATCTGTAAAAGAGGAATGGTATTAGCCACTCTATTGCAAAGATTAAGTTAATTAATGCATGTATAATGCTGGAAGCCATGCCTTGTATGTAGTAAGCACTCAGTACATATTAACCAGTGTTGTAATTAGCATGGCTTTATTCTGTTTTGATTCCTCATTTATAACATTGGGATGGATTTTCATAAAGCATCTAGCACAGTTGCTTACACATAGGGGGTACTTAAAAAACAGCAAAGGCTGTTCTGTGCACAAATGTCCTTCAGCTTGATATCTTCCTTGTAGCTTTTTCCTTTTTTTGGACGGAGTTTTGCTGTTGTTGCCCAGGCTGGGGTGCAATGGTGCAATCTCAGCTCAACCGCAACCTCTGCCTCCCGGGTTCAAGCGATTCTCCTGCCTCAGCCTCCCGAGTAGCTGGGATTACAGGGATGCACCACCACGCCTGGCTAATTTTGTATTTTTAGTAGAGATGAGGTTTCTTCATGTTGGTCAGGCTGGTCTCGAACTCCCGACCCCAGGTGATCTGCCTCCCAAAGTGCTGGGATTACAGGCGTGAGCCACCGCACTGCCCAGCTTTTATGCTGTTGGGGGATGGACAAGTTGAGTAGAAACCCAGGCTAGAGTGATTTAATTGCCTGTTACTAGGGACTGAGCGCTGTGGGCACAGCCTGCCTCTAGGTGTCTCTGTCTGGATCCACAGGTCTGCAGTTGTGGATTCCCGTACCTGCAAAGCCCTAGGGGGCCTGAGAGA